CTTGAATTAAATGGGCTAAATCATAACTATAATAAATTAGGATTTTCTAGAAAACAGTTCCTTTCTCAGTTGGCTTTTTCCCTTTTACTTTATAGTTGAGTGCTACCCCCACTGCTTTTTAACAAATAAAAAGATTTAATTATTTCTCTTTTAAAATTTGAATAAAAGTTCTTTGGCTGCCTGGAAGACAGGTATGCCCATTAGGCATCTTGCAGACAATGAGAGTTTGCATTACGCATCGCCTATTATTATATATTATGTATCTTTACAAGTACTTTATAGAAGTGCATATGGGTTTATAGCAAGGAAAAAAATTGTGTAGACCCATGAGCCAGGTTTGTTTTCAAGTCTGGAGACTTGGAGAGCTCTCCACACTTAGTGTGTGTTGCACATTGACTCTGGACTACCAGTTCTGACTGTTGTCATCCTTCAGTAGCAAAGACTGGCTGAGCTGAGCTGAGCATTGAACTTAGAAGATACAGATCCTCAGCTCAGAAGGAAAAGTCTTGGCTCAGCAAGGGCCTGTCTGGGCATCTGGGATTGCAAAGTAATGGTTAATTTCTTAAACTGGATCGGGTGGAGGATTCTATTCTGTTAAAGGACTTAGCTTCCAAATTTGAGTCGGTGGAGTAAAATTACAACATTAGGTTACAGCCATTATGTTTGAACTAAATCATAGCAAATGCCGAGAGAAGGCCCTACCTACTTTCCTTTCTGTTATTTCAGAAATAGATCTCAAACAACCATGTGCCTTTGGGGAAATTTTTATTTCCAAAATATTTGCAGTGATTGAGTCAAGCCAATGAATATGTGATTTACTAGACATTTTATTTCTGAAAGTTGTATTTTAAACGTGAAACTATATTGTTGAGAACGTGATATTCTTCACAGCAAAACAAACTTACTGCCTTCTGTACTTGCAGATTTCTCTGTAAGATATGACCCAGAAAAGTAAAATTTTATCTCAAGTTCGAACTTGTTTTTAAGTTTTGCTATAGGGTGCATGTGCTCACCAGAAAGAGAGAAACTGAGAAATCATTTCTGATTTCTGGGGAAAGAATGAGGGAAGGGTAACCATTGCCACAAATCCCTTCCCCTCCATTCTTCTCTCAGAATTGTAGGTACTCCCGCCTCCCGGCATGATTTTCAAGCCGCTCCATCTGGGACTCGAACTGCACAGCTGGCCGTGTAGGATCTTTCTGCCTTAACCTCCACGCTACCTGCTGGACCTTGGACTCTCCTCCTGACTTCCCCCGACTGCCTAAGTTTGGCCCCATCCTAGACTTTAATATATGTAAAAAGATCATGTGAGATCTGATTCATGTCATCAAGGGAAGTCCTCATCTCTCCATTTATTTCTGAGGGGCCCAGTGGGGGCTCTGGGTGGGCTAGTGTGACTGCCATATTTTGCTCCAACTCCCAGGCCTGGCTGAAGTCTCAGTCCTCCCGGGCCAGCTCATCACCGTGCTTCTGCCTCTGGCAGGTGCGGCCTGGTGGGTCCAGGGCTCTAGTACTCAGGGCTCTCAAAGGGCAGGACTTCCCTCCTGGCTTAGCCTCTCCAGAGTGAAACCCCTACTAAAACTGGAAGTGACTTTGAGATGGATGTCGCCCTAATTCTTCTGCCACCCCTGCTAACAGGGTGTGCATTATCACTTTCCCAGAGTCACTCACCACCTTCTAGGGACTTTGTCTCCTGCACAATCTCTGTTCTTATGTCCCTATCTTCCCCAAATCCAGAAACCTCTGAATCATAGCCCTCAGTGAGGACTTTCCTATCAATAAGATGCACAAAACATATTTTTTGACCCCAAAACATTCACCTTTCCTAACCTCAACCATTCATATTTTAGCAACATAAAAAAAAAAAGCAGAAATTTGAAAATATATATATTTTTAAAATAGGCTCAACATTCAAGATATCCTGACCAGGCATTTATCTCTCAGACTACCAGCATTTCCGCTCCTGTAGGAGTGTCAAGAGAGCCGGGATCAGCCCTACATCATTATGGTCCCCTTTGCTGGGTCAGTTTCTGGACCCTATAAGTAGCTTTTTTCTTGTGTTGCCACATGAAGTACAGTGGTTCAAGTCCCAGACCTGGTGACTTGAAAATCACAGCAGGCACGTGTGTGTGTATGTGTGTGTGTGTGTGTGTGTGCGTGTGCCCAGAATCCCAAGAGGAGAATGGAGAAGAAAGGATTGCAGCATGGCTGTCCCCCAGGGAGTGATTTCTTAGTTTCTCTCTCTCTGTTTCTCTCCAGTGAGTGTACATGCCCTACAGCAGAACCTTAAAAAAGAAAAAGAAAAAAGAATATTCTTAGAATGAAATGCCTAGGAAGACTGGTATCACTTAGCACCCAGTAGTGACTTTTCCTGGTGCTTCCCAACTTTTCCTGGTGTGGCAGTGTCTCTAGAGCTCCCTGCCTAGAGCTGTCAGTTCCCAGGGAGAGCACGAAATCTGCCTAGGGCACTGATTCCACACCACATTGGGAAGAAATGGTCACATACTGAAACTTGCAAGTGTGTTACAGAGTAAGGAGCAAAATGTGTAATAATTTTAAGAGAAGGTGCTTGAAGCATGAGAAACATGGCTTGCGGGCTGCTCTCCTAGACTTCTCCAAGGTTGGGTAACTTCCAATTGAGACGTCTTGGGGAGAACTCGAGGAAATACTGTATTTAAGAAAGTACTATTGGGACCACAGATGGTGTAATGGTCACATCACTGGATCCTCATGTAGCCGACTGCAGTTCAAGTATCAGACCTGGTGGCTTAAAATTCACACGAAGCGTGTGTGTGTGTTGTGGTTGTGTGTGTGTGTGTGTGTGGGTGTGTGTGCCCAAGATCCTGAGAAGAGGATGGAGAAGAATGGATGGCAGTGTGGCCATCCCCCCTGGGGGGAGATTTCTCGCTTTCTGTGTCTCTGTCTCTCCAGTGAGTTCATCTACCCTGTAGCAAAAAAACTCTAAAAGAAAAAAGAAAGAAGGTACTATCATACAGAAATGTGTATCTTTTAACAATGTTTTCCGCAATTACTCCTGTTGGCTCTTGGTGTGCAGCTAATTGGCAAATTATAGACATTCTTTTTTTATATATGCATGTGCCAAAAAAAGTTTCAATTGATATATTTGTAAATTGAATCCATTTTAAATGCAATAGATACTTTTTAAGGAACCCTAAAATAGGTTATTTTATACGTCTTAATTATTAGTTTAGTTAAGTTTGAGTTTAATAAATTATTTTACTTAAAGTTTTCTTTTGCTGACTATAAACACTCACTTATTTTTAAATTTAATTTTCCCCAGCTTTATTGAGGTATAATTAACAAAAATTACATATATTCAAGATTTGCTGTATGTACGCATTGTGAAATGATTACACAGCATCCTTAGTCCAGAAGTCCAGAATTCAAAATACTCCACAGTTCAAGTTTGTAAACATCACCATGACACTTGCCAAGTGGAATGGTCCATACCTCTCTCAGGAAGGGCCACACTCAAAATATTGCAGTACAAAAACACTGTATAAAACTAATTCCAGGCTAGATTTGTAAGGAGTCTATAAGACAAATTAATTTCATGTTTAGACTTGGTTCCTCTTTTTCAAGATATCTTGTTATGTATAGGTCTATATTTCAAAATTCAAAAAAAAATCTGAAATCTGAAACCTCCTGTTCTGAAGTAGTTTGGATGAGGGGTTCTGAACCTGGACCACAGTCAAATTAATTAATACATGCATCGCATTTACATTTACACATCTTAAACTAGAAATAGTTCTTTATAAATTTGGCTTTCTTTTTTCTTTTCTTTTTTTTTTTTTTGAGAGTTTTTGCTATAGGGCACATATGCTTGCCAGAAAGTAGAGAGAGACAGAGAGACAGAAAGCGAGAAATCACCCTCCAGGGGGAGTGACCACGCCACAATCCCTTCTCCTCCATTCTCCTCTTGAAATCTTGGGCACTCATGCACATGCACCTGACATGAGTTTAAGCCACTGGGTCCAAGACTCGAACTACATAGCCACTACACCATCTGCTCGTCCCTATAAATCTGGCTTTCAAAAGATAGCATTTAAAAAAAAAAAAAAAGATAGCATTTTATAACCGATGCCATTGAATTTATCTGACATAGACTGATGAAAATTTAAGACTACTTTCGTTAGTGGAGTTGAGTAGTTTTAGAAGTTTTTTTTTTTTTATTTCTGAGCATATTAAATATCTGTATTACTTCTAATACTTGTATTATCTTAATGAAGCACATAAAATAAAACATTAGTTCAATCATGAAGTTCCTCAGAGCAGATTATTAAATAATCATGACATGAACCAGGCCAACTTCAAAGTTGATTTGGAAAGTTGTGCTATTTATTGCTCTAAGCTATTATATTAGTCAAACATAAATGTTCAGAGTACATTTTTATTAACTATATGTCCAGGTACTTCTAAAAGCTTTCTTGGTCTTCATACAGTTATGGGCGTTCAATAAATGTTTAATAGAAAGGCTTATTAAAGTTTTATTTATTATAATTCATGTAAAGGAGTAGAAATGAAGATAAATTAGGTTAAAGTAATGGACAAAATGTGTAATTGAAATAATTTGGAGTACAATTCAAATCAATTTCTCTGTTCATTTAGAAATATTAAAAGTATGTGACCACAACGGAAGTCAGTATGCAGGCACTAAGAGCCATAACATAGCTTGATGGTTTGAAATAGAAAATTCGCTTTTTCTAGTCTAAAAAGAAAACCAAGTTACCTACCTTATTTATTGAGCGGATCAAACAATTGTGTATACAAGATTTAAATGAGATGTATGACAAAATACAGACATTGTTATCATTGGTAAAATAATACAGTTATGTGTCATGTAACAATAGGGAAACTTCCTGCGAAGTGTGACTTCGGGTGATTTCACCATTGTGCTGTGCTTCACCATTGTGTGATCTGCCATTGACTGAAACGTTATTATGAAGCATATAACTACATTATAATGCAGAAATCCTTACCCACATTGGCAGCTGTTTTCAGTCATCCTTGTATGACACTTATAATGTCTGGCACCTAGAAAAAAATAATGAAACAAAATGTCATTGATGTACTTGTGTAAAATAAACATTAATGTTTTCACTCACTCACTGTATTAGTTTCAAAATGTCATCACTGGGGCCAGCAAGTGGTGTGATGGTTGAGGCGCTGGACCCTTACAGCCTTGACCACGGTTTAAGTCCCAGACTCGGAGGCTTGAAACTCATACTGGGCATGTGCATGCTCAAAATCCTGAGAGGAGAAGGGAAGGTTAGAGGCTGAGGCATAGCCATCCTCCCAAGGGGTGATTTCTCATTTTCTCTCTCTCTCTCTGTCTCTGGCAAGCGCATACACCCTATGGGAAAAATCTCTCTATAAGGAAAAAAAAAGTCATCACTGAGTTGAAGTAAGATTAGAATAATCGATTCAACCAAAATTGTGACCGTTGCTCCTCTGTTACTCAGGGTGCAGCCGAGGGACAAGCCTCACTGTTAGGAAAAGGCTGGCTCGCGCTGGGTTTTGCTGGTCCAGTGAGGATTCTTAACGACTGATAGAATTATAAGATGGTAAAATAAATTTCAACACACTTTTGTATTTTGTTATTTTATTCTTAGGCTATCAGCTGCAAAGGTCAGCACAGCATATCCTACACCCTGTCAAGGAACCAGACTGTGGTGGTCGAGTACACCCATGATAAAGATACGGATATGTTCCAGGTAATGTCTTTCTTTTTCACTGGCAAATTTAGCACATTTTTCTTTCAAGTCTGTGTTTTGATATATAATTGGAGCATCTAGCACAGCAGTGTTGATGATGCTCGGCGGGGATAGGGGAGTAAATAATAAATAAATAAATAAATAAATAAATAATGTCAAGACAAGTACCAAGAAAGTATGGTAGATACTAGCACCGTACCCTGTGCCAAAATGAACTCTAGAAGAGAGTGAACCTTTAAGTGTAAACCTGAAGGAGCAAGTCGCCCGAGGCACAGTGGTACCGCAGCACCACTCAGTGCTGAGGCCATGCGGGAGGGTCCTGGGGTGGCATCCCTGGGTCTTCGTGTGCACACCAGGTGCTTGTGCACATGCCCGTGGTCCTGGCTCGCTGAGGCTGGATTGCAATGTGATGAGCCTATTGGGGGTGCCTCCCTCTGCCTATCCTCCACCTCTTCTTCTCTCGTGGGAGAAATAAATCAAATGACGGAACAGAAGTCCTAGGACAAAATTTAGGTGCATTTGTATGCTTGGACTGGGAAAGAAGGTATACCACATGAACAGAGAGATTGTACTTTACACAACTTAGCTTCTTTCTGAATGTTAAAAACATGAAAAATTGGGACTATTTAGATAGACTATCAAGTAGACACAGGATTGATACGTGCAATATATTAATTACATTTCAAATATTTTAAAAATAAGGAATGAGAAATTCTCAAAAGAAGAAATATAAATGGCTATTAAATATATAAAATTATTTTAAAAATCAAATAAATTAAAACTCAACTACTCTTTACTACCTATTAATTGGAAAATATTAAATTATATCACATTGTATGGAATTGATAGTCCTAATGGGTTACCAATCATTTAAACAATCAGACTGATTGACTCAGTAATTCTGCCTTTAGCGATTTTTTTAAAGAATTACTTTAGCGAACTTTTAAATTTTATTTTACTTATTATTTTAATTTGGGACAGAGTGAGAAAGGGACAGAGTGAGAGAGAGAGGGAAAGTGAGAAAGTATGCCCCAGGTCTGGGACTCGAACCATGGCCAACCATGTGGAAGTCCAGTGCCCTTAACCACCACGCCGCCCATTGGCCCCCCCTTCAACAATTTTTATACATAGATTAGGAAATATGAACAAAGATTTCATCACAAAGGTGTTCATTATAGTGTTGTACATACTAACAAAAACTAAAAATAAATCTGTGCTTCTGGTGGGGATGACTACAGTATGGTACATTTAGATGCAAAACACCACATAGCCATTACATGATTAGTAAATGGGAAATACAATAAAGTAAATGGGGGGGGGAGGCAAATGCCCTATCCTTACTTTATTTTTTATATGTATGCACAAACACACATAAACCTATATGTGAAGGACAGACGGTACTGAAAACAAGTGCCCAGTGTTTTCCACCCTATTTTCTGTAGTATCAGGAAGTGCATGCATAACCAGACCTCCTGCATCAGTACTTTTGATCAAGAAAGAAAGACAATTCCACAGTATTCTAAAAAAATCAGTAATGGTCATGAATTTCAACACTTTAGACTCGTAAGAAGAACTAGCATAAAGCGAAATCTTTTTTTTTCCTAAACTTTTCACAAAATTTAGGAGAAATACTTGCTGATGTCCATCAAATTAAAAATTAATAGTAAAAATAGTATAAATTAGCCATCTAGGGGAAAAATTATATTAGTAACTCACATCATAAGATTCCAAATAGATGAAATACTTCATTTTTTTAAGTAGGAAAAGTATTAGAAGGAAAACTTGGGGGAACCAGCAGTTGGCATAATGACTATGTTGCTGGACTCCCATGTAGTTGACTGTGGTTCAAGTCCCAGACCCGGTAGCTTAAACTCACACTGGGCACATGTGCGTGCATGCCCAAGATCCCCAGAGGAGAATGGAGGAGAAAGGATTGCAGCGTGGCCATCCTCCCCAGGGAGGTGATTTCTTGCTTTCTGTCTCTCTGTCTCCCTCTCTTTCTGGTGAGCGCACGCTCCCTATAGCAAAAACCTATTTAAAAAAAAAAGAAAAGAAAAAAATTTTTAAAAAAAGAAAAACTTGGGGAACTATAACTTCAAGAAAGAAGAACGTTCTATGAGATAAAACTCATAAACCATAAAATAAATTATAGAAAAAAGTTTTCTTTTTAGGCAGTTAACATTTGTATGCAGCCAAAATATTATAAAGTGAAAATAGAAAGCAAATGACAAAAGGGGATATATTTATCATTTGTGTCACGAAGGGTTAATGTCCCAAATATATAAGGTACTCCTAGAACTCACTAAAAAAAAGAACTAACTACAGTCAAGTAGATCAATGGGAAAAGGATCGCAGAAACAGTTCATCAAAAAGGGAAGGTAACTATTAAATAGGCTCAAATATGCATGAAAAATCTTTGAAAAGGTAAACAAGATATTAATAAAAAGAGAAGCATGAATAAAATCACAGAGAGAGCCATTTTTCATTATGCGATTGGCAAAAACTTAAAAGGTTTTGTTGAAGATGTGGTGGAAACACTCCTCTCTCTTATAAACTGGCATTACCTGTGTGGGGGAGTGATTTGGAAATACCTATGAGAAACAGAACGTGTACACACTTTAACTTGGCTCTTCTCTTTCTAGGGATTTACCAAAGACATATTCTTACATACATCCAAAATGACATTTGTACAAAATTATGCTCAGCAGCAAAACATGGGAAACAACCTAGATGTCCTTCTGCAGGGGGCAAGTTGAATGAATTTGTGTTCAGGCATAGAGTGGAGTTCTGCAAAACTGTACAACAGAACAAGGAAAAGCTCTACATCGCTATGAGAAGAGCACTAAGCACATTAAATGAACAAAGTACTAATACTATTACATGTATTGTGTCATACTGATAGTATTACTTTCAGTCAAGAGTATATAAAGTTAAATATTAGTAAATGAAATGAATAATATTATTTTAAATAATGTATATTACATTAATTATTAAATGTTTAGTATGGTTAAATGATCTAAATAATGCTTCTATGAGCTAAAACTCTTTGAAAGGATAAACAAGATATTAATTAAGCCATTGCCAGGGTCAGCAGATGGCATAATGGTTATGTCGCTGGACTCCCATGTAGTCAGCAATGTTTTGAGTCCCTGACCAGTGGCTTAAAGTTCACACTGGGTGCAGGTATATGTGTGCCCAAAGTCTCAAGAGGAAAACGGAGATGGAACTGCATCATGGCCATCCCCTCTAACGAGTAATTTCTCACTTTCTGTCTCTCTGTCTCTCTCTATCCGGCAAGCATACATGCCCTATAGCAGAAATCATTCTAAAAAATTAATAAATAAAAATAAAGCCATTGCCTTTATGGGGAAAGGGACTGGGCAGGTGATATGCAGGAAGACATTTCATACTTTTTGATTTTGAAACAATGTGAATGTGTTAGCTATTTAAAAAAAAAAAATACTAACCAAACCTAGGCAGACAGAAAGATAAATAGACAAAAGACAAAATAGTCATAGTCACAAATGTAGACATAGTTTTAAACCCCAAAGTAAGATTTATCATCATTAGGCAAAATATTAACAGTGTTTTGATTCTTCATACTATTTCATTATATAATGTTCTATATATCTTTCTCCTCATTCTACCAAAGAAAATCTCTTCCTACAGAAGTCTATGCATACATAATACTCCCCAGCTTATATTTTTATGGAACTTTATAGTGATTTCTTTTTTTAATATTCCCCAAGATTATGCGTTTTCAATTTATGGGTTTTTTACTACTTATGATAGTAAAGATTTAGATTTTTTTTACTACTTACAGTAGTGAAGATTTATATGATATTTAATACTAAAAATGTGAATTTGGACCGGCAGATGGCACAATGGTTACGTTGCTGGACTCCCACGTAGTCAACTGTGGTTCAAGTCCTAGACCTGGTGGCTTAAAATTCACTACAGGCACTTGTGTGTGTGTGTGTGTGTGTGTGTGTGTGTGTGTGTGTGCCCAAAATCCCAAGAGGAGAATGGAGGAGAAATGATTGTGGCATGACCATCCCCCTTAAGGAGTAACTTCTCACTTTCTGTCTCTCTGTTTCTCTTTGTCTCTCTAGCAAGCATACGCTCTCTATAGCAAAAATCTCTCTCTAAAAAAAAGAAAATGTGAATCAAGAGTAGTTTACAATTGTCGGTGATTCTTTGTTCCACTTCATGTCATCAACTTCCTGCAATGACACATATAATAAGTTAAGTACTGTGAGACTGAATTCCTTTAAGACGAATCTTGTTTCTTAGCAATTTTTCAAAATTCCATGTAGTCTTCTTTAGGTGACATATTGTGACATAGATGATGTGTGCTTCGCCATTGTGCAGTCACATTCTACTTCATATGTTCGCTTTCTTCCTTCTCATCTCTACAGAATTCATGAGATTTTGTTGGATTTTTTGGGATGCCGGTATTGATTCTAAGGGCTTTATGTATGCTTCCCATTTTATCACACAGAATACTACCAAACTCAAGATTTAATAAAGTAAATAATAGTTTAGCTGTAGGCACATGCCAGTGAGGAATACAATGACCAGGAGCATGGTTCAGTGTCACCACCTGGATTTGTGCTCAGGTACCAGCAGCTTTACCCACCCTGGCTTTTGGACCATCACTGCCTCTCCCAAACACAGTGACAGGGGTAAATGTGTCTTCATAGTATTATGAGAGCAATTTTTTTTTTTTTTTGGAGAGGTTTTTGCTATAGAGTGCATGCACTCGCCAGACAGAGAGAGTTAGTGAAACAGAAAGCGAGAAATCACCCCCCAGTGGGGATGGTCACGCCGCAATCCCTTCTCCTCCATTCTCCTCTTGGGATCTTGGGCACGCACACACACATGCCTGGCGTGAGTTTTAACCTACTGGGTCTGGGACGCGAACCGTGGTCCACTACGTGGGAGTCCAGCGACATAGCCATTACACTAACTGCTGGTTCCCCCCCCCCTTTTTTTTTCTTGGAGAGGTTTTTATTTTTTTATTTTTTTTTGAATTCTCAATTTCATAGTCTTTGGACTTGGGTATTTGGATTGGGTCCTATTTTGTGGGTTTGTTTTTTGTTTTGTTTTGTTTTTTTAAGAGAGATTTTTGCTGTAAGGCATGTGTCAGACAGAAAGCGAGAAATCACCTCCCAGGGGAGGATGACCACACCATAATCTCTTCTCTGTTCTCCTCTTGGAATTTTGGGTACACATACACACACACACACACACAAACGCCTGGCGTGAGTTTTAAGCCTGTGGATCTAGGACTTGAACCACGGCCGGCCA